TCACAACGAAACACAGAGTAACACACCGCGGGCTTGAGAAAGGCACGGCCGGTGGCTTGCAGCAACCACATGTGACGACCCCGGGCTGGACTCCGTTCGTCCGGCGATCCACAGCGCAAAGTTGAAGTATTTGCTCAGCGACCAGCACGGATCAGCTCCAGGCATAACGAAGTGGATATCATCCTCTTTTGCAAACTTGAATTCCAAATGGAAGAAAATAATCATTTCTGAGATGAGGATGAAAATGTACAAACTTCATACTAAAGCAGAATAGTAGCTATATGGTATGCATTATGTTCTAACCATTAAATCTTTTTTCAAATAAGTTTTTACTATATGAAATAGCGCAAAGCATACAAATCAAAAGACAGTTTTTTTGGGGGGTACTTAGAGAAACGTTACTATATGGCAACGCTGTGGAAAACGGTCAAAAAGTCGTTTTTCTAGAAAAGTATGATTTTATTTTCTATTTAAATGCACATTTCTTTTAGAAATTGATAGATTTATATTCTCGGAACTCATGCAAACCAATAATAAGTAGATCCCTGTCATTTAACCTTAACTGAAGGCTAACTCATCCTCACTCTCATCTCATGGGAGAGCTAACTAACTCTGCACTCTTCCTATTGGCCTTTCCGTCAAATATCGCTGTATTCATTTTCTGAAAATAAGAAATAATTTTGTTGTTTATACATAAATACAACTATACTACAATAAACATTTCAAATAAATAAATAACTGCAATCATATTATTGATGCTACTATCTATAAAAAAAACCCAGTGGGGAAATACGTTACTGCAATTACACAGTGCGACACTGTGTCACACATATGCCATTGTGAAATTTTGTGGGGGAAAAAGGTACAATGTCGAATGTCATTGGTGTAGAAATGTATAAAACACAGATTAAAGAAGTCACTTTCAAACCAAGCAGCTTTCTACTTGGTCAAGTTAATTTGTGATTAATTTGAACAAGAGGGAAATCTACGTGGGGAACTTTCCCGCCCTTACGCGAAACTCCTGATCGTTTGGATTCCTATTTGAATGACAGAGACATTTCTCAATCTTCTTTTATGCTCCACAGACAAAAGAAAGTCATACAGGTTTGAAAGGACATGAGGGTGTTTAAATGATTAAATGATGAATTTTCATTTGTGGGTGAACTATCCCTTTAATACTGATTCCTATGCACTATATCAGACTATGCTGTTTACACGGCAATAATAACACAGTATGTTGGATTCTGTGTCAGGTTGCACAAATATTTGCCTGTCAAATGTGGGCTCAAGTCATTCAAATGAGAGACTTGGTTTTGTGTACTAAAGCTGCACGCATCTTTCTGGTCCAGTCATGTTTGGTGACTTCAGTTTCTCATTTCTGACACTTTCTGATCAAAAAAGTGCAAATTAAAAATATGAATAAATACTATAAATAACAAAGAATATTAAAAATGTTGCTTTTCAGCTTTCAAAAAAGACAACAAATACATCT